CGCGATTTATCAATTGTCAAAAGAGAACCCAAGGTGGTTGCTGACTTCAACAAGTCGCCATGATGGTCCTATGATGTCTAGGACTAACAAATTTTGCAGAAGGGTTGAAGAACACCTATTAGAGTTGTTCTATCTAGTTCAGTTAGCTGATCACTCTTTTTAGTTCAGCTCTGTTGACTGAACTAGTTCGGTGTTCTAGTTCAGTAGTTCAATCGTTCGCATGCCGCTCTTTTATTCAGCTGTCGTTTTAATTCGGTTGTTCTTTTAATAGTTCATCGCTCTCCAAATCGTTCAGTTGATAGTTTGTGTTCTTGGAAGATTGTGATGTGTGGATAAAAACTATTTTAGATTTTTTTGCTATGAACGTATATGGCGAGGATATTAAAAAGAAAAAAATTAGAACAGGTTATGGACCTATTAGGTGTGGATTTTTAAAGATTTTTAAAGCCAACATAAATTTAGAGGCAAGATATTTTGTATTTGTGTTTACTAAATGAAAGCACTGTTGATATCACATGCAAAATAAAACTCGATCGGTGTCGCTTCCATTTAGTCCAAATCGAACTAGGTCTGTAAAACGCTCACATTTAAACTAAAAGGAACGATTATTTCAGTTCGTTCTTTTAATGAACTAAAAAGAAGACCTAGTTCAATCTGTCTTTTAAGTGAATCGTTCATTTGAACTAGTTCGTTCATGAACTGTACAACTCTAAAACCTATATTTGGATGAATACAAACTTTAAAAAATTATTAAAATTATATATGGGAAACATTGATAATTTATTTATTCAATTATGTGTTAGAACACCCCAAGAATACATGATGTTCACATGGAGTTACTATGTGAGAAACGGTGCAGAAGAATGTACCGATCTGCCTTTCCTCATCCTTCTGCATTAATTATGACTGAAGTCCAATATTAATTAAATTTTGGATAGCGAGGTCCTAAGCACAACCCAAAAATATAAATCCAAAAGACAATGAAGTACCGTATGCAAAATGCAAAAATAAAAAAAACAGAAATACAGTGTCTGTAAACAATTAAAAATATTAAAGTTCGGCCGGGCCCAAGTTTCTTCAAAAATCTTAAAATTACGCGAACAGGACGGAGTCTTTATATGGGGAATATGTCCAAACATAGATCAATGCAGACAATTGTCCACAAAAAAGATCCTTCAAAATACCGAAAGTAAAGCAGTAATTCAATATGAGGACTATCTACAAACAATTTTGACAATTTTCTGCCTATATGCCATTCTCCAAAACCCAAACTATAGTCAATTTTGATGAAAAACGTGCATGAAGTCCACAAAATTCCGCTCATATTAATAATTTTTGATAGGGAAATGTTTTACCCAATGAGAAACAAAATATCAAATTACAATTATTTTGACAAAAGTGTCCAACAGATTTAAAATACCGAATATTGTGGTGTGCCGTTTCAATACCAAACATCCTAGGAATAGTAGCAATAGTTTTTATTATTGCGTAAGGTATAATAATGTTTAAAGAAATACAAATCACATTATATTTAAACAAAATTTATTCCATATATATTCACCCCTATTCCGTATGTCGTCGTCGTTGTCGACGACGTTTCTCTTTCGACATCACTTCGCATCGACATCACTTCGACACTGATTTGGTATTCTGTAACACTCATGCGACGATGTCGACTATTTATCGATAATATCAATAAAAACAAAAATTTTGTTGCATATTTTTGGGCAAAAATGTGTTTGTATCCTTCACCGCACTGTGGCACAGGGCATATAGTATGTACATAGAATTATTTTTCAGTCGATTTATGCATGTCCCTCCATTCATGTATTATTTTAAACAAGTTACATGCCACCATTATGATCCGAACGGGATGAAATTTGGAAAAAATCCATCCAATTGGGATGAAATTTTATTTCCACATAGACGAGTCCTATTGACATTGGTCAAAATCGGGTTAGGTTTATATATAGATCCCATATATTTTTCTTTATTTACACTTTATTTTGCATTAAGTATTGAATAGATTCTAAAATGATGTATCCTGTTCTTGTCCGGCCGTTTTTTTTTTAATTTCAAAAAAAAAAAAAAAATGTTCAAACGCTTCAGTCGTCAACAAAAACTATGACGAAGAAATCTTCGACATCGTCGTCGTCACACATTGTTACGGAATATCAAAAATGTTTCAATAGTTATCGATAAATGTCGACAACGACATAGGGAATACCAATTTGCAAAAGACGACTCTCTTCGACGTCGTTTCGTGTCGACGACGACATACAGAATAGGGGTGATTATAGCACTTTTTGAAAACGTTCAGCATTTTTTCTAACTTTTTTATCAACAAAATTTTGGCAACACTGATGAAGAATAGTATCAAATCGAGTTTGAGAAGTACAACATAGTGTTTTTATTATCAAACAATATAACTTAAAACGTAATGAACACGGAGATGTGGTTATTTTGTCTAATTTTAGCGCGGAGAACACAGCAAAGATTTTGATGTTCAACAGAAGATTATTTGTCATTCTCAACACGTTTAAGTGTCCGGAGTTGAACAGCAGAATCATTGATGTGTGTGCTAAACTTATACTGGTCAACATACTCATCTATACCAGTCCATTATGTTGGCACCGAGTTCATCGATCATGGATCAAAACCGGCAAAAAATATACTAACATAAAGCCTTTAGATATAGAATTTCTCCTTTAGGGGATTTCTCAAATAGTTCTAGCAATTTATGGTAAATATTGGTCTTTACGGAATATGAATAAATATGAGAGTTGACAGTGGTAAATTCCGACAAAACTGGGATCAAACTACTTTGATACGCTTTTTTGTTTTGTTTTGTTTTTTTTTTCGCATGCAAAATTATATGCTGAATTTTTCGCTGAAATCACTTTGACCTCATCTCGAATTTATATTATTTTGGAAATGAAATTTTAATTTTATTTTGTTAAAAATAAATATTTTTGGCCTTCGTCCAAATGTCAAATGTATATTACCCGATATTTTAATTCGATATTTTAATTCGGTTAACAAAATTCGTGATTTCCAGTAAGATTACATACATACACGACCCATGAAATGTTAAATGAGAATCCAAATAAATCCAATTAGTAACAATTTTGATTGATGTAAAAATGCATTTTGTAGTTTTTCTTCTTTGTTCTTTTTTTCATTTATTTATTAGAATAAAACAATTAGTAATTAGTATGTCTAGAGTTAATTTCTTAAATGTTAAGTGACTGAAAATGAACTTAAAACTAATGCTTCCAAGTCATGTAAAAGTAAAAAAGGAGTAAGAAAAATAGCAGACGAGTAAATTAAAGGATACATTTCTTTAGCTGTACTTAGTGGGAGAGACAAAATAATAAAGTTCCCAACGAGAAAAAGGATATATAACAAAACAAAAAAATATACATATAAATGGGAGTAGTGTGTGTGGCTGTGTGTACATGCCAAACGGGCAAAAATATCAATGAACAAAAACAGACTAAAATAAGAAAAATAATGTTGAAGCAAAATAAAGGAAAACGAATGCATGAGGAATACAAAGAAGGTTCTAAAACTTAAATACAATTCCTAACAATATTTTTTATATGTATATGAATAACTATATGTTTGTGTGTGCATTTTTTATAAAAAACGTATATATGTGTGTGTGCTGTTATGTTATGTTATTGGTATGTGCCGAAAGTAATGTTGCTAAATAAATGGGGAATAAATGGGATTAAGTTACCTGAAAATGTAATGAAAACGTTTGCACCATTCAATGAATTGGGGATATTTACTTTGGAAATCCGAATTGCTTTGATTCGAATTTTGCATAGACCTTATTTCCACGGGGAAACTAATCCATAAAAATATTCATTGTGTGGCTGACACTGACAACATTCATTAAGCGAAAATTGTAATTGAAATGTTAAGAATTTAGAACGGCAAATAAAATAAATCCAACAATATGCTAATGATTCTGCAACTACTGCAAGACATTTTTTATAAAAACTTTAAGCGAAGATTACGAATGAGAATATATTTTAAATTTATAGAAATAGATTATTGAATATAAAACCCGAATAGGATTTATTAAAAAAGAACAAATATATATTAATAATCTCAAGTAGATTAGATACATTTTTCCAAAAATATTATTTAATTATTCAATGCTAATATATTTGCGCGATTTTAATATAGTTCTCCTTTAAAGCTCTTATCCATACAATCATAAATTATCAGAACTGAATACCCTAAACTGAATCCTTTCAAAATAGTATGTTTCTAACTTTTTTTATATTTTAAAGCAACATATTTTTCTAAATTTAAAACAACAGTGTTTTCGGCACACCCTGAGGTCTTTTCAATGGAGCACACTCTTCATTAGAAGAAACATAAACTACAAAGAAGTAGAAAAAAATATACAAATATATAGTGGCAGTGCGGGAACGAAGGATTAAACAACACAACATGTCCATAGCTTTGTACACATCAATATGAATGAATATATCGTATTCTGTATTCTATATGTGGGTATATATGTTAACTCTATGCCAAATGTTTGTATGTCTGTCTGGCTATGGTGGTCTTTTGTAGTAGTAGTTAAAGTAACACACACTCGCGCACACACACATACACAAACTCTTTCGCATGTTCATATGTATGGCTGTGTGATGCAGGAATGGTAACAATTGTTTTTCTTGCCTTTGTTGTTATTGCTGCTGTTGTTGTTTTTTATTCCTTTGTGGTTATTGTTTTTGTTGTTTATGCTCATGTCGTAGTTGCTGAATGTTGTTGTATAAAAAACCACCAAACGTTGCTGGTGACGACGGTGATGATGATGGTTAGGATGTTAGCTTGCCTGTTTTGGTCTATGGGTTTCTGCCTCAGTCTTGGCCTTGGTGACGTAGTAGAAGAAGAGTAATGGCTGAAAAAACATGAAACCAAAAACAAGTACGATGCATGACTGTGCCCCCACATATGTGTGTGGTACAACGTTGTTAGTGTTTGGTATGTATATTGTTGTTTTTGCTGGTGGCAGTGTTTCCTCATAAAATATAAATAAATTACAGAATATCATCTCATAAATATCTACGATGTATCCTTTTTTGGGGGGATACTATGCTTGTGTCGCCATAAACTAAAGAATCATTTCCAGGCGATAAACTGCCAACACTCTCCGGGCTACCACGATTGGCTGTAATGAGAAAAAACATAACAAATACAAATACATAAAGAAACAGATAAAGATAAAGAAGACGAAGGTACCAATATATAAAGTGCAAAAAAAACAGAACGATCTAAAATCCCCCACCACAGATATCATAGCACACAACATGAAATGTGTGTGTTTGTGTGTGTGGCCATGCAGAGGTAAACTTATGACCCAGACCACAAAATAAACCTCATTTTGATGTAATTTAAATATTCAAATAAAAAATACTCAAACATCCGTTCCGCTCACAAACACTGTGGTTATACAGAGGAAGGACGAATATTTGTATGCGCAATGCATACCACACACCACTATGTGCAAATCGTCCAATGACGAGTGAGTGAGTGTGGATGTGTGTGTATGACACACACAAACGCATCTTTGATTAAAAATTCTCAAATAAATACATAAATAGGATTTTTAGGTTGCATAGCTGAGTCGAAGTTGGGCAACAACAATTGCAAATATAATATTAAAAAATAAATTCACAAAAGAGTATGACCGACCGACCGCACATCACAAAAGAACAAAACAACAACAAAAATAAAAATAATAACAATAACAGTGATTGATTGCAACTTACCAAATGGAGAGCGCAGACCCTGCGGCGAATGACTTATGGGTGAACCGGGCGAACTACTGCTTTGTGAGAACTGGGATTTGTTTTTTGCGGACGTTGAAAACACTGAAATAAAAAAATATATAAAAATAAATACACATTTGGTTTTCAACAGAAATTTACGAATGAATACATTAATTAATTGCAACAATGCATATTATTATGTCAAAAATTGAAAGGATTATCAACTGCAGGATTCGAGTATTTATAACAATGATGAAATATGTTGTGTAATAGTGGCTTAAAAGTCCCATTGTTAATAAAGCTGGAAGGCAATTTTAAAAATGATTGAATTGTGATGGCCATTCCAACATCAACTTCGAAAATTATTCTGTTCGTTACCAGATGCTTGAGCAGTTATGGAAATTTTTATTATTGGCATAACATTATTCGGAAACTTTTTTTTCATTTCGGAATTATTTGTTTAAGTCAACCAACGAAAAATTCCCTGTCGTCCCATGGATATTGGCATATCGACATTCAAATCATTATTACATTATTATTTTTAAAAATTTGTTTGTATATGGTTATATTGCAAGGAAACATTTAATTTTCTTATCACTTGTTCACTTTAAGCATTGGCCACATACAACGGTACCCAAAGGGGTTGTAATTTTGTATTTTAGATTCTCATTAGGAACCAAATCTGGCTACCAAAAAATCAAAAACCGAGCTGTTCACCGAATTGAATTTATCCTAGTTCATACGAGTATGTAGTCCACAATAACGTACTTAAATTTGAAACCGATGGAGTTAAAAGTTTTTGAGTTATCGTGGCTGTCAATCGTAAAAACACTGTTGATAAACGTTCAAGCTGTCACCTGTCGTTTATATAATAAATCGATTATATTTCAAGATTTTTTAAAATTTTCCCTTGAAATTTTAAAGAGACAGACTTAAGAAGTTATAAGTTCAAATTATATAAAAATAAAAAATCGATTTTTTAAGCCGTGATTGGAGGGGAGTGGACCCCCACTTAAGATATTTGTCTGTCTGGCCAGCTGGTTCGAACGATAACTCTCGATTTCATCCAATCTTTACAAATGGTAATATTTCATATATATCCGATTTGAAGCAATTTTTGCACACCTTTCTTTCAAACTCAAATTATGTTCGAAGATGGGGAAATCGGTCCACCTCATCTGGTCCACCCAGACAAAATTGATAAAATTTTGTTTGAAATGCATTTTATAATATCATGAAAACAAAGAACTCGATTCAAACCAAACTTTGTACAAACTAATATTGTAACCATGCCTGTATAATGTTTGGATATGGCACTTTTCGGTCGACTCCTTCTAGTACCTCCCAAACAGAATGGTCAAAAATTTGCCGAAAATTAAGTTTATAATGTAATGTGAATGGACTCAACTTTGTACAATTTAAATTCACAACCATAATGTTGAAAGATAGTTTGTCGGCCATATATAAAACATATGAAGCTTACGGAATATCCAATTTCATCTAAATTTTCATACGGTAATATATATACCTTACATATATCAAGTGTGAAGATAGGTACCGTTGGTCCACTCCTTCTGGTACATTCCCCATAATAATGGAATGTCTGTTTTGATTCAAACTTTGCAAATCGCATCCAAACCTACATTAAATCCTAAAATGGGATGGGGTCTATAGGGCAACCATTTCTGGTAATTTCGTATTGGTTTTAAACCCAATAGCATATATAAGGTGTATTAAGTCGACATTTATCTAAACAGTAATGGCATTGTTTGAGTCCCTAACATCCGATTTATTTCTTGGTGCTGGCAAACATTTATACTCGAAACACTTATACTCGATATTTTTCCATTTTGGTGTATTCACACAAGTTTGGTAGAATATCCAGGTTTTTGGGAATAGTTTGTCGATATATATCAGAAGTTCTTACCAAATGGCGCTCTTTAGTCCGAAGGTGTTTTTGGACCTTTATTCTTCGATAACGACGAACGAACGGTTGTCGCCATCAATTCGGAGCGTTATGGTCAAATTACTTTTTTGCCTGCTTTTGAATAATACGACTTGGAGAACATGCGAATACTGCCTTATTCCAAGAGGCATTTCCTGGCCGCGTAATTTCTCGACGAATAAATGCCCAAAGATCATCTATGAGTTCACTACGATATCAATGATTTACGAATTTCATCAATAAAGAGTGAAACAGTAATTTTTTTCTTATTATGACGTCAAGTTTAATCCATTCTGATTGAATGACATAGAAATCCTATACAATACTTCATTGTGATCTAAAAAACTAAGCCAACATTTAATACTCTTTTTCATAAGACTACTTTGAAAATGTAACAATTATTTCAAGCTTTCTGCCAGTTCCTTAAATTGCTAGACAAATCTCATTTTTCAAATTAACTACTCAGAGGATCATTTGTGGTTGGTAAATATTTTATTATCTTCCTCGAACCTTATTAACGTCATAAATTCTTCACAGTTTTCCCATCAAAGGTCCTCTTTTCCGTTCAAAGTCAAACTGTCCAAAATAGCCAGGAGGCCAAAGTAAATATTTGTATTGGGTTACTACTAATCCCTTGTAATAACACCGAACTTGCCATGTCCCTCGTGTAATTTATAGAGTTATATACGATGGTAGGTATCCGCATACAGCATTCGTGATGATTATACATCCGACCACCGACATTATAGTAAGTTATTGTGGCTTTTATTCCGCACAGAGGAAGATGTGTTTGTTATTAGACTATAATTTCACATACCTTTCACATACAATCATGCGAAATGAGGACTTGAGTTTCAGCTGTTCGCTCGGGTAGGGTATTAACATGGCTAAAGGTAGATGGGGTATACATTTGTAGCCATCAAAAACAGCTTAGCTAAATTTGTTGTCTACCAGTAAATAACTACAAACAACCAAAAATACACATCCTCGCACAAACACACACACCCACCCATCCCAGCACATACAAACGAATTAAAATGGATTCACATATTACGGGTATGTGTTCACCTAGCTATATACAAGTACCTATTCAAAAGTATTTAACAAAAACACATACACCCATCTCAGTTCCCAGCCCAGCCCAACACCAAGTACCCCTTCTTTGCGGGGTATAACTGGTGCCTAGCACCACAGTGATCATCCCTAAAGACACTTTATTTGTGTAATTAATTTGCATTTAACCTCAAACGACTTTATAAGAGAATTTCCACAGAAAAAACGTTCAAAAGCACTCGAGTGCACCAAGCTGACTACTGTGGGTTCGGTTGGAAGTAATTAAAATGTGGGTTACACGCTAATGAATTTAAAACACACCGAGATTCTGATGATGCTCAGACCAACGAATGTATGCATATATCTCTTCCGACCTCCAGCCCCTGCCACGGTACGACGGCACAACCTGTTCGGTCGTTGGAGGTGTGCAAAACAAAAACAAAAAACGGAAACTGAACACGTTGCCACATCCACAAAGAATCTGTTCAGTGGCAACAAATAAAATCGCAAACAAAGGACACAAACCTAAACGAAAAATGAATGAACGCAAAAAAAAAAAGCCAACCAAAGCTGTGTTCTCGGGCTAGGTGTAGGTAAGTTGTCTTGTCGAGTGCTGCTTGTTATCAATAAATCTAAAACATGGAAGGCTGGATAAAGGCGACTGTCGGTGTTGCAATAACAAAGAGACACCAACAACAGCAGCGGCAACCAGCATCAATGCCATTATCCCTGCCGCCATCGGCATGTGGCATGAGAAAGTGGCTAAGGATGCTGATGACGACATGACGATAATGGTGATGATGCTCAGCCACTCGTTCATGTATGACACTTTTGAGTTGCTCTAAATATGTTCCTAGCAACTGCTGATGGCTACGAGAGTTCTCTATAAGCTGAGCTGTGTGAGTACCAAATTGTACCTTGTGTCTAATTTTATTTTTTCGAAATCTTTGTGAACGCGTACGACTATGAGTGTGTGTATGTGTGTGTGCGTGCAGTGAAAAATAATTGATGCATGTCAAGCTACTGTCGAAGTTCTTAATCAATTATCTTTTGTAGATGAGAATTTAGTTTGAAGTGACTTAGATGATGACGAGATTTTCCCAGGGCTGAATTTCGAAAGCGGCGGATAAACCGAGGAGGCCTTGTGAATTGGGGAAATTTTTTTAACTAGAAAAAATGTATTATTTGTGCGTGTTAGACGTACATAGGTATTTGCAAGTTATACGATATGACTGTGATTCGACCTGTTACACCTGCTACTTCCCTCATATTCAACCTTGTGTAAATTTCTCTGCAGGCTGAGGTATCCTGTTAGCATATCTGTCGGTATGTTGATTTTTGTTTATATTTCCAATCCTCTAATTATTTAAAAAATATGAGTTTCTTTCGCTCATGACCTCATTTTTAGTCGTGTTGCGTTAAACACGTCTATAGAAGGTTGGACAGTAGCACATCTGACTAGTAGATTGACTATCTCATTGCCTATTGCCTCTGCGACTCGGTTCCCATATGTCATAAATGTCTTTTATACATTCCACAATAGTTTTAGAATTAACTGTTTTGAAAATTATTATACCATACACAAATATGTTGTCAATGTATTATAGCTTTGTGTGGCCCCAAAAATTTGTAACGCCGAGAAATACTGGCCATAGACACACCTTTTCTCGACCAACTGAGTCCATATAGACATGGCCGCCTGTTCATTATAATATGTAAGCACGATACAGGCCACAGTTATGTACCAATAGCCAAAAAAATTAGCATGTAGGACGGGTTCTGGTCAATGAAGGTCGCTATTGTTTTTGGTTAATTTTAAGGTATGATGATGGGTCGCTCTAGAGGCCACAATTATGACTCGAACACCACGAAAATGTTCATCAGGAAGACTGATGAAAATAATGATCGGTCAATATTCCAAGGGTCAAATCAACCAAAATGTAAAGTGACAAAATTTTTATTTTATAGCGTAAATATTCACCTTGGGAAAACAAGATTTGTGAAATATGCCAGTGTTAAGAAATATCGCGAAATAGTGCCCAGTCTCAGAAAATAAGACCGCAGAAAGTTAGATTTTCGTGGTAGTTGTGTAGGATATCCGCTC